ATATATATATATATATATATATATATATTGTGGCTCACCTTAAAGATTTCAGGCACCAGATAGACAGAGATGCATTTAAAGTCATTTACAATGGGCCCCACAACAAGTAGGAGTACGCTCGACAACGGCAGAACCAGCAGCAATTAAAATCCTGAGCCCACCACAATGCAAACAGAAGAAAATGGTTGCTTTGGCTCCGCTTCAAACTACGTGACGAACCGAATCATGGCCTCAATCGTGTCGTGATGACGCAACAGGCAATTACAAGTGGCACGTGAAATTTCTTGAACTAGCTTTGGTTCCGCTCCTATTCTCCATGTGCCTCTATAGAATTTGACGCAGGTTGTTGTTCTGTCTCATTTAATTTAATGAACTAATGAAATTATTTTCTAAGCTTTGCTTCATTACTGAAACAGATCCACACCGTATGCACCTTCCAGCCTCCACCTCCCTATGAATAAACATCTTCATTGGAAACGTCGGGCGGCTATACTAACATTAGTGGATTAGATAGGAAATTCTGTTACTCTATACTCTTGCGACCCGCCTCGACTAACATTTAAAGTTAATTAGCTGAAGTTAGACACATTTAACGTGCGAACCCCGGAGCTTATAAGACAAAAACCTCCCAGAGCCTCACTATGGTTGATGGTATTTTGAATTGTGCGTAGTCACCCATCCCCACACCTCGCAACTTCCTCTTATACGAGTAAAAGTCTCGAACAGCTTGTGCTCGAGCAATGCTACTCACTGCCCTCATGTGCTGGTTATTTCCCAGCAAAACTCGGGATTATAAACGGGTCCGTGAACCATTGTAGCTCAACTTAGGGATCTAGCAGAGGAACCTGTTTAAAATCTAACCAACAGCGTACTAATCAGATTCACCAATTTGGTTCTGACAATGGTCGCCGACTTGTTGATGATAAATAAATATACCACCAACGGGCGTACCATACCTTGTAGTAAACCCTTACAATTTTCCGATTTTCGAGATTACATGTCATCGTAGATGAACAGAATAGCAAAGCAAATCAAACTCCACTGCATACTTGCTGATACACTGCTCTCGTACCACCCGATGCAATGGGTCTATTTACTACCGAACGTATACCATTGGAAACTACCTAAGCCATTTAGGGATGCCGGTTACCATTGACCCATGCCAGCTATTGGGATCAAAGTGCCCTCAATAGATGACCAGAAGGATGAATGAAGCTACGCATTAACCTCGTACAAATTTAACTAGTGAATGCTAACACTTTTCACTGTGACGTTCAAGGAGCCTGTGCACTGACTACCTCAAGCCCGGTTGGCATTTGACAACTTGAGACATTTGTGGCGACGTCCCGACATTCGGCCGTCTGTGAACGGTCGAGTGTACGCTGCGGCAGTTCGGCCAAATCCAGTATACTGCGCAGAAACTTGGTTATTAGGAGAGCAGGATAAACGTAGACTGTTTGAACACAGCTAACTACGCAGCATAGCATGAATCTGGTGGGGTAAACGGAGGACCCATACTGAGATTAGGAGTAGAATTTCGGGTAACGAACGTCACCAGATGGGGTGCCACGGTGAGCGGTTTGCCGAGGCAGGTAGCGCATAGAAAAAGGTAGCGGACGGTCTAACGTAGACCTGGCAAGTGGGTATGAAAACCCTAACTAGGAGAGTGGGTCACATAGGTCCCGTCTGGCTCCTTGGAAGGCGATCTCGGGATGATCAAAACCGATGAACAGTGATACTGAGTGCCGTTAAAAGTGGTGTTCGCGCATCTTCTCAATTTCTTCGCAGCCATTACTTATTGGAGTGCTCAATTTTTTCTTCGACTCTACCTTCAACTCTCTTGTCTTTCGCCTACTGTTCGTCCCAATGAGCAGCCAAAAGACAACTGTTGCACGAGAGTGGATGGTTAATGGTTGTACAGACGGAAAAATGACTGTATCAGGGAAAACGCCGAATTGGGTGTCGCATTACCACAACGTGGTGAACCACATTAACGGTATAAAACCATTCGAAAAACAACAGTAACAACAACAAAAACAACCACGCGTTGGCCCTGACCCCAGTCATATAAATCAAAACATACCGGCAGAAGAGCTGTGAGAGCTCCCAGAACATTCACACAGTCACCGGTATCTGGTCCAACCGATCTGAAATGAGAAAACAGGAGGATAAAGCGAGATAAAACAAAACAGGAAACCAAATCCACCTACCCGGGCAATAGAAAGTCTGTCATGGCCGCGACAAACTCTTTCGGTGTGGTGTATGAAGACATGATCTCGACCGCAGCCGCATACAAACCGGCAGCTTGGATTGAAACGTTTTCCTCCAGATTCCACGGCCTCCAAGCAGCAGGATGCCCATACAAGCCGAATTTATGGGTACCTGGTAAATAGAATGCAGAACATGTTTGACAAGTACGTAGATGAAGCAAGAGAAGTAAACAGTTTAGGAGAACAGATATCTATTTTTTAGCTACAAGGGAATATATCCTAGTTTTCCGGCTCGCAAAATGAACGACGGCTGGTCGAGAGTATTCTGTAGAATGAAAGGAAATATATTGGACCGTTTCCAAATCAAAGGGACGTAAAGCTGTCAGTGGAAGTAGACAGATTCAAACGGCGTTTGATGCATCCCAAATTGAGGTGTCAAGGAGGGTCAAGGACGTCACTTTTTCACTTTTTCTCCGTTTCTCTCTCTCAATGAGATTCCGAGTCGGTAGGTCTAAAGTGATTCATTCCACCTGTAGAGTGTGGTCAGCTACCTAAAACCCGGGAAGGTGAAAGTTCGTTGGCGAAAAGGGACAGAAAACAGGTAGAATGTGACCACAAGATTGCAGCCAGGTCACTCGTCTGTGTGTGTGTGTATTGCCGGGCGCACATTTCCACTTCGCGGTCAGGAGAAACGCCTCTCAGATGGTTAAACGGCATTGAATGGAGCAGGATTGGATCAGCAGCGTTGCCCGAGATCGTGGCGGCTTTGTGCCCACAAAGCGATCATTGTACTACAGCAACCATAACCGTTCGTAGAATGCATGTGTGCGACGTGCAAAAACTGGACCACCAATAATTAAGGCAAACATCCTTTTGTGCGAAAATTTTGGTTCTATATCCCAAAATATATGCCTGCAATGAAGTCCCGTCTCTGAAAGCCTGAGTATAGTCGGGGATGGATGCCTCTAATCGCTCCTCGCTCTCTCTCTCTATCTCACCTCGCGAAATGCCCCCATACGATCAAGCGTCTCAAACAGCCTCTGCTGAGGAAGCCCTAGTCACCACCTTCTCGTGAGGAAAGTGTTTTCCCACTAAAGTAAGATGAGAAAAAGCCACCATTCGAAGATACGACAAGGTTAATGAACCACTAGCAGCTCACCCTGATTCCAAACCAACTGAAAAGAGGCCTAAGAACCGCACGCACTCTCTGTTCGTGGTAGTGGTCAGCGGGTCGTGAGGGTGGTGGGATTCGGAAACAAGTGCTCCGAAGGGATAATTTGGTGACGATACCACTTGGCCATCACTGCCCTTTGCAACCTTCGTCTATTCGAATCCTTCACTTTCACCTTGGCACCGCACTGAGCATTCCAATTTCCCTCTACTCCTCGCAAATGAATAACAAGAAGACAGTAGACAAAACCGTCGCACTAAAGTACACCAATGGCGGTTGTTCAAACTGAAACTGATTCAATTTGAGGGTGAATGCCACTAGTCTGTCATCCAATCTCCGATTAACCTAAAAACAAGTGAGAAAGAAGCGATGTTATTGGCTTCCAGGTCAATTGTACGGTAACTATTAACGACTACTATGAAACATTTTCGGAGAGGAGGAACAGTGATGCAATCAGAGACGGACCTCATATGCTAGTGAACAAACTCCGCGATGAGGAACGTGATCGTGCGATTAGTGACTCACTCAGAATGATTGGATTCAACAGGGTAGAAACGAATTCCGAGTCCGCACAAGTGACATGCGCATTGTACCAGTCGTAGAGCATTGCTTCCAGTTCCGGTTCGGCTTCTGCCCAGAAACGTGCCTCGTCCGTGTATTTAGCGAGCAGTTGTGTGTACGTCTCTTTCGCGACCTCAACACTGGCACACAGCTCGGACCAGCCGCGTTGCGTCAAAAGCCCCGACTGGGCCTCGATGTCCGCCCCGGGACCATTGAGTTTACGAGATCGGGCCCGGTGAACGGCCAGAGTGTGAGTTCGACTTAGCACGCAATGTGTGACCAGTTGCATGCGGAGTCGACCGATGAACCAGGTCAGTTGATTGTCCGCATTCGAGCCATCCGCATCCGGTGGGACAAAGTGCCAGTGCTCGCGAAGTAGGACGAATGAGGTATTCACTGGACGACCTGAAACGTGAATGAATTGACTGGATTTAGGCATGGGATAGTGTAGGCAAATCGAACAGATAAATTGCGCTTATCAAAGCAACGGTTCACTTTGATTTGATCGTCGGGGACCAAATGTCACTGTCATAGTTTCACCGCCTCCCAAACAAGAAGAGCAAGCAAGCACCAGTAGGCTATGGGTCGTGTGTGTCTAGATCACATAAGTAATTGGTCTTTCAGCACAGGACGAAACATACGGAATGGTGGAAACGCTTACACAAGCGGTCGAAGTAGTTGATTTGAAGCAATATGCATACGGGTCAGTGAACCACTGGTTGATCACCTACAGGAGATGGCTAAAACCCTGATTTAAAATCAACCAAGAGGAGGAGTACAACCCACACACACCTTCCCGGTTGTGGCAGTCGTCTGACCCTGTCCAAAAGGCGTATGATCCGATGACCTGGAAGATGGCTCCCAATGGACTGCGGTTTTCACACACCGAATCGCTAGCTCGCGGATTAGGCTTTGGCTAGCCGAAGGCTCTGGTTGAGAATTCTTCAAGAAAATTCACATGCCTTGTCCTGTGCAACCTGGCAATATTCTACCCACATGCAAATCATGGAACTTTTTTTTTTCTTTTTCATAAAAATTATTGTTCTGTGATTTGCTTAGCATACAATCTGGACTCATATATGTACATCGGATCGGTGACATCTCGACGGTATAACGCTTAATCCATGGTACTCGACTGGTACGC